TTGAGTAGTTCAAAGGCTTTCACGGGCTTCGAACAACCGAGCCCAGATGATTTTATTAGTATGTGAAAGAGTAATATTATTAACTGTCAGTTTATTATAAATATAATGGGCAAATTAGAGATGGAGAAAATAAAATTATCACTAAAGTAGGCTCATTGCCAATTGATGGATTAGGTTAACATAATTAATAAACTATAGATGGTTTTGTTGCGCATCTCACTCGATGGAAATTTTAATGTTGGGTTTTGTTGATGGATAAATCGAGTACTTAATAATTTGAATTAAAATATGGACCTAACCAGGCCCTTATTGCCTGAATGGCATCTTATTCAAATAATCATTTAACTTGAAATAAAGGGATCTCCCTCAATTGATTTAGCCTGCAGAGGGCCAACCCCATTCCTGGATCACTTAACCTGAAATTCAGGCCCTACTTTCAATTTTCTGTCTGCATCCTTTTGAATGTTCAATATTTTTAACCTTTAACATTAATGATAATGATTATTCAATTAAAGTCAACAATTTCTTTTTCATCCTGAGAACATCCAGTTAATTCAGTCCTCCTGAATTTGTTTGACACTCCTTAGCAGTGATATTTCTGTAGATTTGCCATTATTTTATTCCAGACATGAACTCACAGGCCCTATAAATTATGATTAAATACATAGTGCCATTAATTTACAAAATGGACCTTTGCAATGTTTATGCATGCACTAGTCAATTGAAACCCTCAACCCCAGGGACAGGGTGGGGAATTAATGGGGGAATGGCCGTGGATTAACACAGTCTTAATGCAGATTTCCCCCAGGGTACAGGGTAATAAATAACAAATCAATTTATTAGCCAGGACAATTAATTCCCAAGTCATGAAAATTTCCCAAGTCATGAAAATTTGCAAAGTGCTGGGACCATAGGGACAGTAATTTTAACAGCCAATATTCTCCCGGTAGCAGGGAAATGTCCAAAATTTAACATTGTCAAAATGTTAATTTCCCCTCCCTATCCCGGGGGTCGGGGTTTCAATTGACTAGTGCATTATGGTGGGATGCAGGCATGCAGCCCCAATTGTATGTTTCCCACCATATTTTACATGGCTCATGCCATATAACTTCAGTACATGGTCATTTTTGGATCCATGCCTGGGACATATCATAATCTTGAATCTAATTTGGGTATTCAGTCATGTTTAATTAATAGACATAGGCAGTCCACATATGGACTGGTCATGCTATGTCTAAGTGCATGGCTATTGCCAAAATAGCCTCCATCTACACAGACCACAACAAAGGTATAAAAATTACTTACCAAGTGATCACCCATTTTATATAATTTGTCTGACATATTCATAAATCTTTATTTTTATACTTAAGTTTACACTACAAAAAGGATAAAAATGAGACAATAATTACATTTGAGCATAATAATGGTCATAATTATCCCCCATAGCCATGTGATAAAATCATGGCTACCTCCTTCATACCTTCCATGACAATTATAGTCACCTGCTTAACCAGGAAATAAAACTATGAGGAAATATGAGAAATGGCTAATTATTTAACTGTATGCACTCTTGCCTACCTACCTATAATCTATCCATCACATATTATATGCAGTAAATACATCATTCTTGGTGTGTAAACTGATCAAATATTTGGTTGACCTTGTTAAAACACAATAGGAATTGTTTATATATAGCAGTGATCAAAATTACAAACAACAATAGGGACGGAATGGGCGAAGGACATATGATATGATTTTGACATATTCAAAGTTAATAAAAAGACTCTGACAGAAATTTAAAGTGCAATTGGAAAAATTTCAACAATATTTTGAGAATTAAATGTTTTGTTTATATTACGGCTTTTTATTACAGTATGACCGTGGTTTCTTGTTTCATATATACTAAAATATATAGAAAAATATCAAAATGCAATACCTATATAATATAAAAGTACTATAAACTTTGTGCGTGTGCATTTCTTCGTGTACTATGAAAATGACTAAAATTAAAAGGTCGCGTTGTTTTAAGCTTTTACAACTAACCTTACCTCAAAACAAGACACTTACCAAGTTATTTTCTTCAGTATTTTCCCCCCAAATGCTCAATCTTCAGAAAAAACCACAAAGTTTAAACCACATTTATTTTGCTGTAAAAGCCCGTTTGATTTCTTGCTCTCGTGATATTCGTGGCATTCGTCCGTTTTGCATCCCAGCGGTTCGCAACAACCAATAAAAACACGTTTTCGTGTTGTTCAAATCATTATTTTACCGTCTATTTATAACAATGCTGTTCACGGTTGTTCGAACAACTAAAAACAACTTGTTCTTTCATCAATGTTGTTGACGCCTGATGAATGAACAACGCTGAACAACATTGTTCTGACAACATTTATCAAGCATGTTTCATCAACCTTGTCGGACACTTGTTCCATCATGTTGCAACAACCATTGTCCGTTCATCAAGCGTGAACAAGTTGTTGGAACAATGTTGTTAACGATTGTCGCTTGAACAACGTTGTTCAGCCATGATAACCTCATTGTTGCAACGTTGTTCAGCGAACAATGTTGCAGCAACCTGATCAATTTTTACGCGTGTAAACAAGAAATCCAAGTCAGCGTCTTCCGTGGAGCACTAAGTTGAATCAACATGAACGAATTGCGTTTTATTCAAAAGTACAAATAGAGACAATCAGGAGCAAAAATTATTGAGACAACCGCATAAGTGCCCCCCTCACCCCCAATTCAATGTTGTGTGGATGACGGAAAAGCGAAAATTTAACCCACTTTTTCCAACATTGATCATGGGGGCAGGGGGAGGCCGACGTACGTTAAAATGGCCAAAAATGTGAAAAGTCTCATTATTTTTGCACGCGATTGTAGGTCAGATTTAGGTCGGCCCTCTTTTGCCGACCTTAATTTTGACGGTTTTGACTTTTCGAGGGCTGCAAAATGGATGCCGACGAAGGAAAAAGCTCGCTTCGCGCAGAAAAATTCCCTAGTGGAAAACCGACTTAATAGAGGGTAATAAAGCGCATTTAAACATGCACATTTACTATAGATGGCCCTGAAGGGGTAAAATGGGAACTGGGATTGACCTATTTTTAGACTGCGAAAATGGGATTTGGGTTGCTGGGACTGGGATTTGGCCACTGGGAATGGGAAATGAAGTCCTCAAAAATGGGAATTGGATTGTAGTAATGTGAGTCGATTCCCAATTTTGATCCGTTTTTGGTGTCTTTAGTCATGATTTTTGTTCTTAACTATATTATTTACAGCATTACCTGCGAGCAGGCATACTCTGGCGCCCGGAATTTTGGGTTTTCTGATTATGCGTGTCTCAGAATGATGCAAATGCCATTTCCGAGATTCAAATTTAAAAATTTTCCGTGCCTTCAGCACGAGCCCCCCCCCCCAATATTTCATAAAGTGTCAGCCACTTGCACACACGGTGGCTTAAAAGGTCTTAAAACTGTTTATTCTACCAATAAATAAAGGGGTTTTTATTGACTGGGATTTCAATAACTCGGACTGGGATTTCTAATAAAAATCCAACTGGAACTGGGATTTTGCCAGAATTTCAGGTGGAAAATGGGATTGGGACCCCTCCCCCACACTTCAGGACCCTCACTATAGGCTAATGACTCGGCAAAATTACCAAACAACAGTCGGCAAAAGATCACTCACACCCCCCACTCGAAGAGGGTTAGCGCCGCCCCTGTATCTATTAAATTCACACGCCTCCCGCTTTAAAAGGATACTATTTAAAATATGTTTCTTTTTAGTTTTAAACGTTAGAAAACTTTTAAGTATTGCTAAGCCACCCATCTGATGTATTTTTCTGTTTGTTTCACTTGTCAGTTAAATGATTAAATTGCCTTGTTTTTGTAATTTGTTTGCAATTTGGCATTTAAATTCCTCGCCATTTTTTCTAGTACACGCGCATGCGCAGACGTTCTTCCGAGGTTTTATTGTTACCTATACATACAAGTTAATTCGACTCTACGAGTTTGTTTTTAATCCTAACGTTTTTAGCTATCAACTTTTCCGTGTGAAGCTGAAGCCTGCTTCTATTTTACAATAGTTTAAATCTAACAATTAAGTTTATTTTTCTATATCAATTTTCCTGATTTGAACATAAACTAACATACATGCAATCTTTACGTATGGTTGGTGGTAGTATGCATGATCATGATCAAATAATTATTGTAATTGTATAACAACTGTATTCAAAACATGCCTGATGTTTGTGATTCCTTGACGAAAAAGACTCTTCAGTTTTACATATTTACTGAAAAATATTCTATCTAGAAAATTCTTTTATGTGGGCAATTATGAGCGATAATTACAAGATAAATCCAGACGAATTTTAGTTATTTTTTTACAGGTTCTTAGATGATCTTTTAATTCCATGTACCCACGCTTTTTGCGTCTTGTTATCTTTCAATAATTTTCCTTGCTGCGTTTTCATCGCCACGGTAACCTTGCCGACGTCAGTTGGGCAGGCAAATGTAAATGAATAGCCGGTCAGCAGAATAACAGAAAGTACCCTTCTGCTTGGTAAAAACATCGAGCATTGCGGTAAATCTCGTGGTATCACAATTATACCCTCTGAGCAGAGCCTGATTTCCCCGATAATTGTAAGTAATAGCATGGCTTGAGGGAGATTACAGGTTAAATGACCCGGTAACCCGAGGCAGGTTGGTGAAAAGTCCCCGAATTAAAAAGTTAAAAACATGTCTTAAACCAATATAATATGGTAAGGGGTCGTTATACAAGCAAAGATTGGCTAATTAAAAGAAGGAAACCAGGCTTAAGAAATCCAACATTTCAAACACAAAACGGCTTCCCGAATTGTTTCTAAATAAAGTTTACGTTAAAAAGCCGAATAAAAATGCACGCAAAAGAATCCGAATGTCGTTAAAATCTTTAAAATATCTGGAAAAATAAAGAGGCAAACTAGTTCCATCATCTAGTATACATAGACAAAAGTTAAGATGACAATTTTATCGAAAAACTGGATTAAAAAGGCTCGAAAAAGGCGAAAAACATACTCGGCCAAAATCTTGACATTTACACGAAAAAACAAAAAATGATAGCTAAATACACGAACTCGTTTTTTTTTACCGTATTTGTCAGCAGTTTTCAAGAGTCTTTGTTTGTGTGTAATCCATGCAGAACCAAAATTAGGCCATTTTGATAAGTTTTTTTTCCATTTACCCTTGCGCCCTTCCACGCTTGGTGCTACTAGTAGGCTATCACTAATAGCCTACTAGTAGCGTAGCCAATCAGAACGCACGAAATATGATAGCGTACTAGTAAGTTTATACTAAATACGTATGGCCGCACGTGCATTACACGCGTCAAGCATGGAGCTCCTTTACGGAGCAAGAGAGTGAAGAGTCAAAAGACGCCGTGGCTTACTGATACAATAAAACTCGATATGAATCGTAGAGACTATCTTAAGAAAAAAGCGGTAAAAAATAATTCTTTGTGGTATCATAATCTTATAAGGCTCTACGTAATAAGATAAACAAAGATGTTATTTGCGCTAAAAGGAAACATTATGTAAAATCAATTGAGGAAAACATGGGAAACCCTAAACTTATGTGGAAATACTTAAATTGTCTGCTAAATAGAAAGTCTAAACGTAGTGGTACGAGAAGCCAGTCAGCTCCAGTTTCAGATTCGCAGCTCCAGTTTCAAATTGAATCTGGAGCCAGAGGCATGGCGTTCGTGTTCGAATGGCTCTAACTCCACAACGCCTTCACCCATCTTAACAATAATTTTTTTCATTCTTCTTCAAGAAAAGGACTATCATATAACGCAATCCCTGAGTCGCTACTTCTTCTAGATTTCTCTAAACAGCTTGCATAAGTCAAGTCGCCAAACTGTGTTGGGTCAATTAAATCTTGAGCAAGACACGGTTAGTTCCTATCTAAATCGCTGTATCGTTGTAAGGAATAAATGTAACGCTTTAATAAATTTTTTCGTTCTTCACTGATAATTTGCGCATCACCTAAAGCATTCAGCTTGTCTGTAGCGCTTTTAGTTATCTCTGGAGGCCTCGCATAAGTTATGTCACCGAACAGCGACATATTGATGGAGACTGCAAACACGCGTGCCGCTTGGCGATTTAAAACGCTCGTTCTCCGCCACAAGTTACTTTATCGTCATAATATTTTTTTCATTCTTTACCCATAATATTCGCATCATATGAGATTATTTTTAAGCTTATACCGATTTAAACTTTGACTGAACAGCTTGTACAAGATCAGTCGTCGAACAGCCACATATTGACACTTACCGCAGGTCAGTCGACAAGTCAGCATACTAAAAACGCTCTATCTCAGCCAAAAATTAACATATCCTTTAAATATTATTTTTCGTTCTTCCCTGATAAATTACACATTATTTAAAAAAATCAGCTTGT